GCTGCTATTTTTGCCCTTGGTAAATGAGTTTAGTAAGAAGGACAATTTCAGAAATAAGAATTTGAAAATGCACAATAGAATTTGTTTCTGGAAAACAGCTTCTACATTAACTGGAAAATACTTGCTCCCAAAGCTGACTTTAAAAATTAAGACTTCTTGATTTGGAAATGGAAATATACTGTGCAATGTTATCAACATGATCACAGCAACTCCAAACTTGATTGGCTACTGAAGGCTTTGTGAAAGAGTTTAGAGAAAAAGCAACATCACTGCCTTGAACCATGGAGCCTGAAAAGGAGCTGTCATGAGGTACCTGCAGAAGTGGAGGAGAACGTGAAGATTCCGATCACGTCTGAATTTTAGGAAGCTGCTTTTGCTTTCTGTGCTCAGAGCACAGGGAGGTCTCTGATATGCTCCTGATAGAAGGATGACAAACTCTTTTGCCTCTGTAGTCTGTATCACTGACGTAGACTTTAAACAAGAAATCACTGCGATCTCCATACAAGTCTATGCAATCTTCATGCACAGGCAAACTGTTAGTCTTTTTAACCTGACTACTCAATTACTCAATTACTTGAAAGAAAAGGTCTTTCTTCATTAAAAGTGAAAATTAATAGAGAGTAGAAACTTGATAACTTATAAAATTATTAGATTTTTGAGAATACAGCAAAACTTAGCTATGCAGTAGATTGTAACAAATCTTGCTGCACTTCAGTGCAAACAGCCATATGTTTTCTATGGCTTCATTTAATTTTCGTTACTAAACTACTGATGACTTGAATAGATAACAATTCTGTTAATATCTCCAAAGGAGAAATAAATAGATGTATCAAGATGAGATATGCTGGAAAGAGCAGAGTTAAAAAATACAGCACATATTACTATACAAGTTTACTCCTGATGTTTTCATTACACGAGTTCTATTTATTTATTTCCTCTTTAACCATAACACAAAGTGTCTTAGATTAACAGCCATGCATATTTATAATGGTTGTTAGTATTTTTTAATCCTAGTTTGGGTAATTATTTTATTTTCTTTGCATTTGCTCGTCAATTCCTCCCCAAATGTATAGGTACTTAACATAAAGCAGGTACATGTCACTGTCTTTAGATTCTAAAAAGGTATCTAAGTACACTTCCTATAGTCTAAGCAGCATGAATACTATCTTTTTAATTATCATAATTGGAACACAAGAACATTAAAACATTTTATGAAAAGCTCTGTTTATTGTAATGCACTCAAAAGCAGTCAACAAGTGCTGAAAATAGATACAAGTGATGATCAAAGTATGCTAGCATACTTCTGTTGGAGGAAAGGTTTTATTTTATTACCGCACTAAAATATTGGCCCTTGAATATGTTAAGGTTATAAAGGAATTACTCATTAGACATTTGGTGTATTTATTTTTTTTCCAAGTGTAAATCTGTATGTCTCTAGAATATATCAAAACAAGTACCATTTGTGGGTTGTGAACAGTAATGAAAGGGAGATTTACAGTGAACTGAGGCAAATATAAGCAACAGACTCTTGAGGTATAAGCTTGAATAGATGTATTGGATAATTAACTACTGTTGATATCTCTGTAAGTTTATACCCATGCTCCTTCTAAGTCATTTGTGCTTGTATTGCAGTTCTCTAGTGAAAGTCAAGAGGCCCCATTAGAGAGCAGCTTCATTACATGTTACAGGAAGAAGATATAATCTAAACCAGAATTCTAAAATTACTTTTGAATTAGCATCCATAGAGAGAACCACAGATGAGAGCTCATATTAGCCAGTAAGTATCATCTTTATAGAAAGCAGCGTACAGCTATTGATGCTGGCGGCTTGCTGATGCTGTGAGTTGCAAGGGAGAACTCTACCTTGCCAGGAGCCAGGGAAGTGCCGGCAAACAGCACACTGTGCTGTGGCCAGGGGAGGGCAAGAGAACTGATCATAGGGGCAGTTTCTCTTCCCTTAAGAACTAGACTAATTGGAAGGTTATTGATGAAGTAGTTTCAAGTGTGCCATTAGTTTCCAGGAGGTTAATGAACAACAGTTTTGGACTGAACACTTTCTGAGCCCTGTTATTAAGTAAGCTTTAAATGTTCTTCAGTGAGCCTTCATTTCAATGCCTGTGTTTACTAATGACCAATATTGTCTTTTATTTAATTGTGGTCACAGGTGGGATGATGCACGATCTTTACATCCTTTCTTTATTTCTTCTTCCTAAAATTCTTGTCTATAAATATATAAAATAGGAGAACATTTTCTTTGGTGGTGTTTTTTTTTTTGCTTGTTTGTTTCATTGGTTGGTTGGGTTTTTTCTTCTTCTTCTAGGGAATCCAGAGAGATTTTTTCTTTAGAAAATAAAGGTCAGAGTTTATTGTAAAAACAGGTGTTTTCACAGGTTTCCTAGTCCCTTAGCACACAGTATTCATTGGCCCCTCACAAACCATTCTCCCAGAGAGGCTGGGAAATGTTGGGTTCTCTCTTTTCCATAAGCACAAAGAGCCTCTTGTTAGGTGGAGCAGAAACTGAGCCAAGAATTGAACCAAATGCTGGTGAGTCCTCTGCTTTAAAGATGACCACTTCTCTTTATCTGTTAATGAATTTATTCCCTACTCATCAGAAAATTAAGCTTTGGAAGAGTTACTGTGCCTTACACAATTTATGTTTTCTGTCCTCTTTTTTCACAGGATAAAACTTGAAATTAAGCATAGGATTCAGGTCCATGTTATGACAGAGATTTTGATCCTAATCACCTACATGTAGGTGCTCAAAGCTATCTGAGATGCTCTACAGCATCCATAATGTTGCCTCATTTTTGGTGTATCTGAGAGAGAACTTGCAGGAGACCCTTGCCTACCAAGACTGGCAGCCAGAGACCAGGCATGATATGCAAAGTCAAAAGGCACTGGGAAGAGATTCAATTGTTCAAACAGAAGTCTGTGGAACTATTTTAAACAAATGTATCCTGCCTTTCGTGCTGGTTTTAGATAACTGCACACCCTGGTTGTCTTAATGTTAATTCCTTATGTAAAATCAATATCCTTTGTTTACTGATCAACAGTTAGTCTTCTGCTTATATCTTATCCCTTTAAAACTCTCCCTCTGAATTCACTCAATGACACTTGTAAAACAAGTTAAAGCTTTTAAACACATCTGAGAATTGCTAGTCCAACGACTGGCAGGGTACCCTGTATATCACACAATTTAGCACAGCTGTCTTCCATATCCATTATTTACATACTGGATTCACTAGCCTGTCAGAAGTTGCTTTAAACAAACCAACTAATCATTGGAAATTGTAAATGCACTAACTTGGAATAAGGCTTTAAGATCTTGTCTTAGTTAAAAATACTATATAACTGAATAATGTAATTGAACTGTAGAATTTGAATTCATATTTAGATTTGGACTCCAAATTTCCTTATGATTTAGCGAGCCATCTCAGATGTTTTTAGTTTATTTCATCTGTTCGTAGTCTGCACTGTTTCAGTGAACTATCAGATGAAATGTGATTGCTTGTGTCTCCTCAGTGAAGTAACAATATTACACCCAGTCTCAGGGCATTCATCTGCAAAATGTGTATAGCAATACCATGAAGGTATTAGCTGGTAAACGCATTCATTAATGGCAGTAAAGCCCCTGTAAAATTGAACAAAAAAAAAAAAAAAAATTTCAAATTTGAAATACAACCTTTATAGCACCTTGCTGAGGAGAGAGGCCAAAAATATTATAATGGATAAAATGAAGCTAGAAACCTTCAATTAAGTTAAAAATAGTCCTGTGCAGAGTGCTGTCAGAGCTTCAAGATCAGCATAAATTCAGAGTGAAATATTTGAAGTAAAACAAATGTACTCTGCTGCCTGGAATGCCCCTGTGTTCCAGAACAGTAAGTTAAGAGGAAAGTTCAGCAAAGACTCACTGTCCAAAGGTCCCAACACAGAGGTTAGGAAAGCCAAAGCCTACCTGGAATCTGGTTAGGGATATGAAGGGCAACAAGAAAAGTTTCTGCAAGTGTAGCAGCAGCAGAAGAAAATCTAGGGAAAATGTGGTCCCACAGCTGAATAGGGGGACCTGGTGACAAATGACATGAAAAAAACCAAGGTACATAATGTCTTTATTACCTCAGTCTTTACTGGAAGACTGGCTTTCAGGAATCCCAGGCCCTTGGGACTAGAGGGGAAGTCTGGAGCAAGGGGTCTTAGCCTCAGTGGAGGAGAAGAAGGTTAGGGAATATTTAAACACACTGGGCAGACACACGTCTGTGGGATCTGGCAGGGTGCACCTGAATGCTGAAAGAGCTTGTGATGCTGTCATGAGACCACTCTTGATTATCTCTGAAAGGGTGTGGTGATTGGGAAGGTACCTGAGAACTGAAAGAAAGCAAATGTTGCTCCTATCTCCTATGCAGGGAACTACAGGTTAATCAGCCTCACATTAGTCCCTGTGTACAAGATGGAGTAAATCCTGGGAACAGTTTCCTTGACCAGCTTTCTATGATATGACTAGTTTATGTTCATTTACCTTTGATTTTCATAGAATATACAGAGTTAGGCTTACATATTATCACTTTCATACCATGAAGCAGTCTCTTGCTGCACTGGAACCTCACTAAGCTAATACTTTCTGAATTCTTGTTATATTTTACCTATATATTGCCTGTTGATCTGTAAGGATATCTCAGGGCAACCAAACAATTTTCTGCACAGGAAACACTAAATGTTTTTTCACAGGCACACATGCACTTACACATGTGTGTAGCCATGGAAGAAAATAAAGTTCTTACAATGCAGCATCTTGTTACCATTGTGGTCCTGAAGGAGGGAGGTTGTCTGTTTCTTCTCAAAGGTCCTCTCTACTGCATTGTGAAACAACCACCTGACGGAAAGCTCCTCTATCAAAACCTTCTGAAACTAAAAAAAAACAAGGTCAAAAAATTTAAACCCTAGGGTCTTGTGATATACAGCTATTATTCAACTGTATCGAACTTACTGTTGTTTTTGCTGTTTTGCAGGATTCCCAGCAGGAGAACTGCAAAAGCCTTTCTTTTGGGGAACGGAGTATCCTAGGTAAGTACTGCATCAGGGAATTTCATACACATGGAAATGAGGAATAACAGGGATTGGAAATACATATAGACAAAGAAAAGGGCATGGAGAAGAAGGTTAAGCTGCTGAAGACAACCAACAAGTGGTGCACAGGAATACTGTGTTGTCATTCTGTAGGGACAGCTTGGTCCTTGGGTTGTGAGTTCTTCGTGACTGCATCCTGCTTTTACTATTTTAAAAACAGACTTTGAAAAGTGCTGCTTTGTGAAATAACTTTTCTTACCCTTGGGAGCTGTATATGTTGCTGTTGTCTTAAACTGATGGTTGATTTCTCTTAGGAATTGCTGATTAAGTGTACCTGAGTGGATGTGTTTCAGTGCTATAGCATGCAATTGCAGCAGTGTGCACATGGCAGGTATTAAAAGGAATTGTAAATCAGGTAATTAACACTTCCTGAACAGAAGTGAATACTCTGAGAAGCCATTTATTATCAGTTTATTGTTCATTTTCTGCTAATATCTAAGATGAACAGTGGGCTTTCATTCATGCCTGTTGAGGTGCATGAGAATATCTCCATGTGCATAAGTGATTGACTGAGCAGGCCCATGTGCTGCTATAGCCAAAGAAGAGTAATTATAGGTCACATGTATTTAATTTTGAAAAATCACTGCTTTTGTGGAGTTCAATACCTTTCAATTTCAAGGCAGGATATGACCGTGAAAATTTCCTGACAGCAGTCTCTGAAAGTTATTTTGCAGTTATATAAATTCAGTTAATGGTGAAATATATCCTTAATAAATCTTTCTTTTAAAAAAATCAAAATTTTTGAACATTTTGGGTTTGCCATCTTCCAATCTGGATGTGTCCTTGTAAACAGGAAAGTTGGCAATATATGTAGAAAGACACATTCAGTTTAGAAACAAATGAATTTGCATTCAAAGAGAATTCTTATGAGCCAGGTGACTTTCTAAGTGGTAATTGGGGATTGAAGAAAGTCCTTTTTGTTAAGGTGAACTTATTTTCTGCTGTAGTTATTGCAGACCTGTTCCTAGCCTTGCTTTCTGAAGAGATTTCTCTGTACCCTGACCTTCTGCTAGAGCGATAAAATTGTGGTTCTTTCAAAGAATTATACTTTGTTCGTTTCTCTTCCTTAAAGGTTACCTTAGCTTAAATTGGTTTTGCTTGAGTACATATCAAAATGAAATTTAGTAAACAAATGTAGCTGTTTTATATCAGACAACAGATTGCTTTTTGTCCTTGAAATATTCTGGATCTGTTTTCTGTCTGCTTAAAAGAAACAGTACATGGCACTGGAACAGAAAAATCATCAAAAAGTCATCAGCACTTGCTGGAAAACCAATTTAACAAATATTTAACATTTAGTGGCATTTTAGTCTCCAGTTCCAGCATAATCACTATAAAACAATTGCATCTATTTGCATAAAGGGAAGCTAAGTTATCACTTTACATCTCAGTACCTGAAATAAAACACCGTTCAAATTCATGGTTACAAGTCTTCAGTGTCAGACACTTCAAACTACCTGCGTTGGTAGCTTCCTTATAGCCCTCTGAGCTACCCCAGACCCAGAAAGTTCCCCTTTAATATGGTACCTGTGAGGCTGCACCTAATCCCATCCATCTCTGTCCAGCTGTGTCCCAGAAGTGAAGAGCATGAACAGATCTGGGAGCATTTCTAGCAAAAAAATTATTGAGCTGAACAAAATGCTGAAGGAGGTTCACAGAAGAAAAGACCAGAATTCATCCCAAACTTCACCCCATCTTTTGGAGCTGGGGGAACCCCTAGGAGTGCCTGGACACCAGCCTTTTTTTTTGTCCTTGCCACTCGTGGTGACTGGGTAGCCTAGAGGAAAAATGAAATATATTTTGTATTAGGGCTTATTGGTTCTTCTTGACCTCTTATGTGTTTTGTGCCATTCTTTTTATGCTTCTCCAGCTGCAAAAGACCTTGTATAATGACTTTACTTCAGATATGGAAAACAAGTCTTAAATAGTACATTTAGTATGGGTAATTATCACTCTGTGCTACACAAGATTGCAAATTTGTCACACAAATGGATGATCTTTCCTGAAATGTATAATTTTAGTAAAGGTTTGCAATAGTACTGGGGGGACAAAAAACAGTAGGGAAGACTTTATCACATGCAAATTACTTTCCAGGAAAGAAAAATATAAAGTGAAGAATTGTCAAGGGAGAAGGGGGAATTAAATGATATAATACTTTTTGAGCATGACTTAGATGAGCAATTATTGTGCTATGGATCATTAGGTCCAGTAAGAACATGTTACTTCAAAACCCTCTGCCTTTCTCCTATTTCTGTGCAATGGTTTAGAAATACTATAAGCTACTTCGAAGTATAGCATCTTAATAACTGAAATGAATAAAATCACAAAGAACAACATAACGTATGAAAGATGCATTTAGTAGGCCATTTCACCCCATGATATCCACTGCATTTTATATAAAAAAAGTCCTGAACCTTTCCCTCTTCCATCCCTATTTCTCCCAGGTGTATGTTTATTTGGATATAACAAGGAAAACATAATTAATTGTCAATCAGGAATACAAAATATGTCTTTCTATTCTGTTTCACAAGTGCATTAGACCTGGCTATAGATCATGTCCTGTTCCAGGGTAGGTGCAAGGAAATTGCATAAACTCTTTTTAAAAAAGAAGGGAGATCTGTTTAATGCTTTACAACTTACAGTCATCTGTAAGTCTGTTTGTTGCAGCCTTTGATCTATTCTTTTTCACGGTGATGCTGAGAGTAATTCACCTGTAACTTAATCCTGTTCTTAGTTAGAATACACACAATGCCGTAAGCTGAAGAAGACATTCTGGAGCTCACATGATGCTAATAAGGGATTTGGTTGGAAGACTGTTTTTTATAGTTTTATATTAAAGGTCGCTTTTAAACAAGTAAGAGTTTAACATGCAGACTTTCAACAACTTTAAGTCAAAATTGTGCAGGTAAGATTTTTAGACCCATTCCCCTCCTCTAGTTTAAATAAATAATGGTCTTTGCTGAGGTCTCTGTCCTTTAACGTTTATGAGTGTGGACACTTTCTGAGGAAACAGCTTCTTTGTGTTACAGGTCATTAAGCTATGGTGCCATAGGAGTAATTGTTGGCCATGAGTTCACTCATGGATTTGATAGCAATGGTGAGTATTTTTTTTTTTTCCTACCAGTGCTGAATTGTGTTGAATAAAGAATAAATTTGTAAAGTTGTATCTTTAAATTAATTTACAATCTTGCTTATCTGAACAAGGCTTTTTTGGTAAGTAATGCCAAAAGTTTGATGCTTATCTTGAATGGAAACTAACAGATTCAGAAAGTCCTGGCTGGAGAGTGTGGGAAGGGTAACGGGATAACTTCTGATTGATGAAAATGACTTCCAAGAAAATTTTTCACTTTAATTTTGACTGTTTCCAACAGATGATTATGTGTCAATATTAAAATACAACACTGGAACAAAAGTGGAACAGAAAAGCTATTGTAAAAAAACCCAAAACATATATATACACACACACACACACACACATATATATATATATAAAATAGAGAAAAAAGAAATAGTCTGAAAATATCAGACCAACTGCCCTGAAAAACAGGATGGAGCAGGGCATCACCACCATCTAGCTTTGGCTATCGCAGTAAAGTTCTTTTCAAAATCAGGCTCCTGAGAGAGAAGGTGGGGAGGAGAGGTCAAAGCACAAACCTCCTCCTCCAGGGAGCAATTCTGAGTGACTGACATTCCACTCTGACTCATTGTCAAGAGAAACCCCTTTCCACTGAAAACACAGGGAGTTTAAGGAAAAGCAGGCTTCTGCCTCACTGCCTAACTGGTGAGCTAGGTTGCTTATGTTGCATTACGTTGAATCTCCATCATGTCTCCAGCCTGTCAGAGAGGAAGGTAAGGTCTGACTCTCTAAGCAGACTACTACCTCTTGCCCAGGCTCTTACCTTCCAAATACAGAAATAAAATACATCTCTAAGGATTCTGTCATCTTGAACAAGAGAACTCATAGGAAAAAATTAAAAAAATAAAAAAATGAAAGAAAACATCTTCAGTACTTGGTATCATGTGTACTGGTTTCTTGCTACCTCTCTTTCCTGCAGTCATAACAAAGACTCAAATCATAGAGCAAGTCTGTGTCCACATGGACAGCTAAACCTTCTCTCAAGAACAAGTCCTAACATATCTTGTGTCTTGTGCCTGACTGGCTGGAGACATGATGGAAATTACTCTCCTACAAATGAGATGATAGAGCAGAGACCTGGGTCCCCATTTTCCATGAGCCATTGCTGTAACCATCAGCCTAGGGAATTGGATGTATGTATTCTCCTTGCTTCCATGAATAGGATTCAAATGTTCTGGTTTTGCTCCAAGGCAAAAAATTGAAACTTCAGAAGTTTCCGTCAAATGGATTTTTTTGTTTCTGGTCAAGCATTTAATTAATTAAGAACAAATTGGTTATCATCAGGTTTGCAGAATCAAAGACATATGGGCTGAGGATGAAAAATACTCACAATTATACTTACAAGAAAGCTCATATGCCTCTCACAATATGTAATTATAAAATATAGCACTCAGTCACCACTATTTTTTTCTTTCTGAACATGGAAATTATGACAATAAATAGAATTCCATCTTTTCACCACTGACTTGAGTGGGATCAAGATTTCGTACATTGATCTTACGCATTTTGTACACACACTTGCATGAGTACATTAACCTTTAATATCTGTACAGGTGATAGATTCCAAGACTGGAAAACAGGGGTTTTCGCCTGCAAAAAATTTGTTGTTTTTTTTTTTTTAAGGTCGTAAATATGACAAAAATGGGAATTTAGACCCGTGGTGGACAACTGACTCTGAAGAAAAATTTAAAGAGAAAACAAAATGCATGATTAATCAATACAGTAATTACTACTGGAAGAGAGCTGGCTTACATGTATGTAAAACATCAGTGATTGAAACCAGTGGTGCATAAGGAGTTTTGGGTGGTTTTTTTGGTTTTCTTGGGTTTTTTTGGGTGTGTGTGTGTTAAATTATCTTTTTATAAATCCCAGCATATTGGGATATTAGTCTACCAATTTCATTTCTCACAACAAATCGTTTTTTGAAATTAATAATTGTGATAAAAATTGTCTGTCAGATTTGATTTGTCCAGTCGAATGCCACTACCCAAACTTTGGTGACAGGGTTAAACCACTTCTCCCCATCACATCAGTTTGGAATCAGAGGAGGAGGATGAAGCCATTCAGCAGGGCTGGTCTAATTACTGTGAGCATGTTAAATATCTTCTGAAGATGAGGTCTGTAATGAAAACTGAGCAGTCACTGTTTTTAAAAATAAGAACATAATAGCATGTTTTATAGATTCCTTTAGCAATTCTGTCTGTTATTTATTACAGCGATAGAATGGATGCATAAACGCTACTTTATTTCAGATTCAACTATTGCTATTTCTCCCATGTGTGCATGCAGACCCAATTTGTATCTCAAATGAAAGAGTATGATAGCAGTAGCCCATAGAAAAAGATCGAGAAAGAAGGTGCAAGGGAATGGTTTCTGTTTCATTGTCTATCAGAGCTATGGGCTTCCCTGAAAATGTGCATATTATGGAAGTGTCAAAGATGAAGTAAAATCAGGTTAAATCCCTGACCTTCAGAAATTGACAGCTAAAATTCCAGTTCCCTGCTGGGACATGATTTTAATCTTAATTTTCAGGAAAAAACACACCCCACCCCGTACTTAATTCTACCGCCTCTACTTATATTTTAGAATCAGAAATACAATTGTGTCTTCGCCTTTTAAGAATAGAGAGGCCAGACTGAATGCTTAGCCTTAATTTTAACACTTTCCCCAGGCTGTTTGTATTAGTCTTGACAATAACAAAACCATATTATAGTTCAGTCTGAAGTCCAACAACTCAGGCTTTGAGTACTTCATATAAGCTAATTTACAAATAAAAATTCTCAGGCTGAATATCTGTAGGGCAAAACCAGTTAATATAAAAACTCCATTTAAAGAACATCATTAAAACCTTCCTCAAGGGCTCCTGCCATTGGCTTTTTTCCTCCTGCCATTGGCTTGTCCATCCCCTTTACATTCTATGGTGTTTCTTGAGAATGGTGTAGATCTGAATTTCCCTCCAGTATAGCTACTGCCTTCGAACTCTGTGGATGGGATATGGATGGCTTACTAGAGAGATCCTGTTATCCACAGCTTTATCATCTGCAAGACTTTTTCCTCCTATTTCCATGGGATATATTAAAGTACTTTTTAGATGATAGAAGAAGAATCTTCACATTCTCTGCCATATTTTATAGCTTCTGTATAAAAAGCTATGCATGCAAAGAGCTTTTTTTTTTTTTGTTTGTCATTTACATCAATTTTCTACAGATATTTTACCCCTGTACGAATATTTTTCATGGATCAAGAAACCTATTTATTTTTCTTCTTTCTCTTCGAGTTGCAATAAAAATGTCTCCAGAAAAGAAGCATAATGAAAGAAAAAGTGGATACAGAAATAGCTTCAGAGTGCAATAATCACATAAAGTCATCTGATCAAATAAAGGGCTTATCATGGTCCCTGAGCCCTGTCACGAACTGTCTGTACAGAGCAGTCTCAGATACCTGACCCAGAGCTGCCTGAGATGAGCAGAAAGACTTTTTCCACTTATTAAAATGACCTATGGCCCAAGTGCCACTGCTAGGTTACTCTCATCTTACGCTCTAAATCAGTCTACTTCACAAGCCCACTGCAGGAAAAATGTGTAAGTAGGTTGGCCAGAAAAAAGGCAGCTGGTGTGTGTGTGTGTATTCCCTGCTGTCCCAGCCCCTTTTATCCTAAAAACCTCTCTCCCACCCCCATCTCCAGCCCCCTGAGGGGAGAGAGAGCTGATAGGAAATGGCTGCGCTTTCCTCTACTGCTCCCATTTCTCCTTAATTACACCCTTGAGGAAGATGCCCTGAATCCAGTCTGGGTGCTTGTCTGCACTAACTGGTGGGGTTGTGCACATGTACCTCGGTATTCCCTAGGTCCTTTTGCCTCTTCTTTCCCATTTTCCCCTTTTGCTATCCTGAAATGAGGGTGAGTCCTAATGCCAACCCCTCCTATACTCATCCTTGTAGCATGAGAGAGCCTATCATCAGAGGATCTGCAGGCCAGCATTGACCTTCAGAGCTCTGCTCCAAACCGTGCTCCATTACCATGCTTATTTGAGGCACAGTAGAGAATAAAACTGCTTACAAATACAGTTTAGTAACACTAAGACTTTAATGGGCCAGGTGATCAGAGATAATGCTGCCCTTGCAGAAATGAGGATTTCTTCATAATGATACTGCACTTGGTAATTCCAGGAGACTGGCTTTTTCACAAAGTTTAGATAGCTCTGCTTCTCACAGCATGTTCTTGTTGCTATTGCGCTTGCTTTTGGAATCAATACTGGGGAAAATCTCCTTTGCAGCTATTTTTAGAGCACTGAATATACTATCAATTTCAATTCTGTCTTGGACAGTTATTTTTAATTATGCTGGTTTATGTAATGACTTAAAGGTTATTTTAGCATTCCAGTAGTTTTATATAATATAGTTAATTTTAACATCCCATAAAGAGTTATGTAGAGAAACAAATATAACCTTTTAGATAAAAGTTTAAGAAAGGGGCTACTGGATCTCATAAATAACCAGATAAAAACAGTCTTCAGGGGAAAATTATGGATGCTCAGATCAAAGATCAGGGACCGGATTCTTGAGTGTACCTGATCTATTACATTTTGTGCTACAGAGATCTAGGACCAGAGCCAGGATAACTCATGACAGAAAATTGTTTACTGACAGTTTTCACATTGAAACCCAGTTTTGTTAACCAGAGATACGGTGGTTGAAATTGGCTGAGGTCATTCTTGCCTCATTTTACTTTTTCCCTGCTTCTTGAAGTTGATCAAGAAGGGAGTTCAGAAATGGGTCAAATGACTGATGTCCTTTCACTCTGCCAGGTGAAAGGCAAGAGGACTTTGGCAGAAAACATTGCAGATAATGGAGGTTTGCGAGAGGCTTTCAGGGTAAGTACATGAAAAATATCTGAAAGATAGCATTATTTTTTAAAAAAGGAAAAGTTGTTTAGGCTCCATACTTCTGAAATGCACTTAGCATCTCTTTCTTATCAGGCATACAGGAAATGGATTACAGAAAAGAGGGGAGGAGAAGAAGAGCCTTTACTGCCAGGCCTTGACTTCACACACAACCAGCTTTTCTTTCTGAGTTATGCCCATGTGAGTAGTACAAATGTGTTCAAATCCCCATCTATTAACCTGCACAGCTTGCAGTGCAGAGATGAGACTGCTTTGTTTCAACAATCTACACCAGCCAAATCAAAACTTTTCAGGGTATAAGCTGAGACTTCTTCTTCCAGGACTATTATTTCTTTTATCTTTTTAGTCTTTGTCCTCTTCTACCCATGGTGCCAGAACTGCCGTAATTATTTTTGGTTTTGCACAGTATTGTCAGAGCAGCTTTCTTTCCTCTTGCTACTTCCCTCCATTACAAGGGTCTTTTTGCATGTATTGCCTCCCTAGCCTCTTTCAATTTCAGCTTCCCAGATTTCTAGTGCTAGCAATATGCAGCAGTTTCTGATGGCTTACACCGCAGACTGCAAAACTTTGATAAGACATGTGATATTTTTTTTTTTAGAAATACATGTAGAACAAAGGAGAGAATCAGAAATTATTTACTTGGTTAAAAGAATTGGGACAAACTCCCTATATAAGAAGTAAAAGCTGTGCTATAAAACTGCCCACCAGCTGAAGAAATTAATCATCAAAACTGAAGAAACAGAACTTGATGCAAACAGTGCAACCAACTCTGGCTGAAAAATCATCTCTCTGTTGAGAGTCAGTGTAGCACTGTACGTGTCTATGGCCATTTCAGGTTGGCAATATTGACCAGTGGAAAGACTCCACTTAGGTCCTCTAGGCTGAGTTGAGTTTCACACTGTGTCAAAGTTTTTCTTTAAGAAAACTTTGAAGCCATATGGAAGACCTGGGGGTCTCACAGGACCTCTGCAGGAATCATATGTCCAGTGGACACTCCAATGTGAAGCATATGCACAGTGAGAGCAGTGTATGCCAGTTACCCTTAAGCTCAGCTTATTTCCTCAGAGCTTGTCACTCAAAAGATTCACTGAAACTGCCAGGGCTATCTTCAGCCAGACAAAATTGTACTGAAGTCTTCATATCTTATGGGCAGTCTGGCTTAAAGGATTTTGTCAATAGGAAACTCTCAGCACAGAGGCTTAGTTAAGGTCGGAGCTCGTTATTTTTCATGTAACAGTATTTTTCATGTAACGGATACAGCATAAGAGGTGTTATACAGTTATGCAAATATTCTCTCTACCCTGTTTTATGGTCAGTTACAATTAGGTCAAATATCATAGCAGGAATAGTAAATTGGGGACCACTGAAGGAAACTTGGAAAATATGTAATTTCAATAAAAACTTACATTCCAACATGGAACAAATATGTGAGGTAATATACCTGCAATTCTAGACATGATAAACACCATTATGTGTAATAGCCTTGAGACTATGAAGGAGGCTTGGTAATTATTAAAGCATAAGGTGCTGCAGCACAAGCTGAATAACAAGCTACCATTGAAGAGAACTTCAGAGAACGAACAAGTAAAGTGACCATGAGCCAATGATGGGAATGAGTGGGTGAAGAATAATAGTGGGTGAAGCATAATAGTGGGTGGAGTCTGGATCCATTACAGGATTTGAAAATCAAGAGAATATACCAACAGAAACCTGCAAGTTATCAAAGGTGAAACAAAATGCAAGTTTGTGTGTTTTTCCATTTTGTGTATTCTGTAAGTAATAATCATCTTGAGAAGAGTGGGGTTACATTCTGCTTTACTTGTGAAGTCATCCCAGATAACATGCTTATTTCTGTTTTATATCTTTTATTAGGTAAGATGCAACTCCTTTAGACCAGAATCTGCAAGAGAACAAATACATGTTGGAGCTCACAGCCCTCCTCAGTTCAGGTAAGTGCAAATAATGTATTTACTCAGTGTACATACAGAACCTGTCACTGCAGCACACAAATGCAGAAATGTAGCATGTTAAAGAGAGGTTTAAGAGCAAACACAAAATTGGACTGTGCTCTTGGCTTAGATTGAAATGGAACTGGTTTTATTAGCTTATCTAGTCCTATTACAATTGCTTTTCTGTAAAAATGAGGGGCTTGCATCTACCTTCAAAAGCAGTTTAACCAGAACACACTCTGATCCCTGTGTTGTCCTCTAATCATGGCCTGAGTATCTAAAATGTCTCATCTTTATTTTTTTAACCCTGTGCAATTCTAGTTATACAAATATATATATATATAAAGAGGTTCTTTGATTTAATCCGCCTGAGTTCATTAAAAGCTTTAAAATTATTACCTTGAATTATATTGCAAAACATGCTCTGTAAGTTCAGTTAAAGATTAAACTCTTCAGCTGGCCTTCAAGATACACTTTGCTTGAAGGAGCTGTGGTAGTTCAGCCATAACAGAGTATCTGTGTCTTTGCCCAAAAGGCCTCTGACAGGCTCCCGAGCCACAGATATCCATGAACTCCATGAAGAAGAGACTGGAAAATGGGGAAGGTTTAAAGATTACACAAGAATTAGGAAGTCATAGTTTATTTCCCTGCTTCTCTACAGAGTTTATGTGACCAAGAGCTAGTTGTTTCTGTTGGGTTTCATGTTGGCATTTACTTAGTTGTGTGTTCATCCTCAGTTGAGTGCTATATTACTTCTGAATTTGGGGGAATGTTAACTCCACAAGCTGATTCATAGTGGAGGCATCTCCAATACACTGGTTTAGTTGCCTTCTGGAAATTCCTCCTGCTTTCTGTTGACTAAAGAGAGAGCTGAGATTCCACCTTCTCCATGAGTAAATTTAGGTGATATAAGGCCTCTGCCTCATTCGTCTCTTGATAAACTGAAAATAACAACAGTGCCTTCACAGGGGAGCTGTGGAGTTGCTTCACAGGTGCTCTGAAATATTCCCTGGACACAGCTGTATCAAAGCTGAAGATATAAAATTGGCATGCATAACACACCTCAGGCTATGTATAACCAGAATGGGTTAAGAAATAATGAAACTGGAAACGTGATGACACAAATTTAATATAAACTAGCACTGCAGATGTGTATGCTCAGTCTTGATAGACTTCTAAACTCTGCATTGAAACCTGCACTGGTGTACCTTTGCAATGCCTGTTACACCAGCTGTCAAGGGTAAATGTAGTGCAGTATGCAAATCTGCATGCCTTTAAACAATTGAAAATACATCATGGCAATGAGGACAGAAGTATCAGGCTGATCTTCAGCCTACAGGTTGGTATTGTTTCAATGATTCCTACCTTCGGTAAGATTTTGGTAAAATAACCATCTCTTGCCTTTTAAAGTCCTCAGATCTATTTACCTATACACATGTTTATATATTCTGAATCATTATATAGCTACATTCACATGAGATGGTGCAGATCACAAAATAAACAGGGAAGCCTGGGAAAAGAGCATTCATGAGGAAAACTTAGGAAGGAATCAGGATAAGAAAGAAAATTCCAGAGAAGATTAGATTAATTTGGGGTCTAAAAAATGCAGACAAAACTTTTTCTTAGTTTTTATATGAGATACTCAGAAGAGGCTTCTGTTTCAGACATAAAGAGGAACTGTGATGCTTGTCTGTTCTTGCAAATCATATCAACTGGACTAACAAATCATATTACCTATTTCCCTCAGCTATATGTCCCAAGACCATTATGAGTGTCACTGCTGTACAGCTTGTTCCAACATTGACAGATGCTGCTACCCAAAAAGCCCAAACAGTCCTTTTTAAAGTAATTATAAGAAGTAACTATAAAAGATGTTAGAGATGAGCAGGATACATCCTGAGCATAGGTCTGTGCATCTGAGTTAGTCACCCCCACGTTCTCTTCACAGCCAAAAAAGAACAGGCATTTTGGAAGTATATCTGTATCTATATACATATATTTATTACATATATTTATT